ACCAAAATGAACGTGATCCTCTCAGACTCTGCTAAATTTAAATCAGATTCACAGATCGATAACGTGAAGTTGGTCGAAAAACAAATATGCCGAGAACTACATCTACTCATGCTTCACGGTTTTATCACCAAGGCCCATTATAAAATGCTCAAGTCCATTGGTACATGCACACCAGAAATGTATGGCTTACCGAAACTGCATAAGCCTGGAACACCTATGAGACCAATTTTGTCCATGATAAATTCACCATACCATAAGCTAGCAAAGTGGTTGAAAGGAATTTTGGATCCTGTTTGTAAACAACTGTTGACACATACTGTCATTGATTCTTTTGAACTTCTCCCAACCTTGGAACACTTGAATATTTCTAATAGTCGGATGTGTTCTTTTGATGTAAACTCTTTGTTCACAAATGTACCTCTCGAAGAAACTGTGGAATTTATTTGTGATTTCATAACTTCACACAACATAAGAATACCCATTCCTACTACCTATCTTCGAGATCTAATTTTGCTGTGCACAAAGAATATAAAATTCTATTTCCAAGGTAAAGCATATATGCAAATCGATGGAGTGGCTATGGGAAGCCCTCTCGAACCTGTTTTAGCAAACATATTCATGGGAATGATAGAAAGGCAAGTGAGTCACTTCATTGATGGTATTACACTTTACAAACGAAATGTCGACGATATTCTTGTCATATTACCACAGTCTACAGATATTAATCAAGTCAATGATTTATTTAATGCAATTCACCCGAATCTGAAAGTCACTTATGAGGAAGTAAACAATAATGAACTAGCTTTCCTCGACATCCTGCTCCATCGCCGTCCAGACGGATCGATCAGACGCAGAGTACATCGCAAACCCACCTGGTCGGGACAGTACCTCCACTTCACTAGTTTCTGCCCCATACAATATAAACGTTCTATTGTCAAAACTTTATTCGCTCGGGTAAGTAGAATCTGCACTGTAGATACATTGGACGACGAATTTAAGTTTATTACTGAGACACTTAAATTAAACGGGTATCCTGAAACGTTTATTGGTCATCAGAACACAAATACGACGAAACTGATAGCAGCGGATGTGCCCAAGAAACCAGTATACCTACAGTTATCTTTCAAGGGTTATCATTGCATGAAAATTACAACCAAACAGACCACAGCTGCAATAAAAAAGACCTTCAATGCAGCTAATCTGAGGCTTATCACAACAACTCAGTCGATCTCAGTTAACCCTATCAAGTCTCCAAGACCGATTCAGTCCAAATCCCACTGTATTTACCAATTCACATGTAACTGCGGAGAAAGTTACTTAGGTAGGACAGATCGCCGATTGGAGGACAGGATAGGGGAACATATTCCAAGATGGTTAATCAAATCCATGATTCATCCACCTAGCCCGTCATCTCAAGATCGATCAAGAAACCCAGCCTCGTCCATTGCAAAACTTCTAATGATGAGTGGTCATCAAATTGACCCAAAATCAGCCTTTAGAGTTGTGACGTGTCATCAAAACCCACACATACTCAAACTACTCGAAGCTATCTTGATTGGTCGGAAAAGTCCAACTTTATGTGTTCAAAAGCAACTGTACGTTGACCTTTGTTTACCATGGTTCTAGTTAGTGAATGTCATGCTAAATAAGAAATTTTGACCTTATCTTCAAAACTGTATTTACACGAATAACATGTTGCTTGTATGTGACTGACGAGAAAGCACGAAATGGTACTATCTCACAAAATTTATCTTCTCATTTCTCTGTTCATTTTCAATTGTTAGAAATGTGTATAGTTTAAAATTTTGTACGATAAAACAGTAAGAAATGTTTATCTCTTATGATCTAAATGACATGTTTTGTTCTCTAGAGATTGTAAGGATAAGAATTACTTTATTATGTGTGAATAATGTAGTTTACTTAAGCATATACAGTAAATAGTACATTTTTATATCTTGGGTTTGAGGTTTTTATTCGGTTCTACGTTACTTTCGAATTGAAGAACGATTAAGGTATTCCAATACAAAAGGTTCTATTGCGTACTGGATAACGGCGGTAAGCACACAACACTCCAATAATAATTCACTAATACAAGAAAGAGATAAGTGTAGTAAAATCTCAACATTCGAGTAGAAAAAATTGAAAATACTACAATTCAGCACGTATTAGTATGACTTTCACGCATATAAACGTTGGTGAGCTAGAAGAACTTACAACCAATAAGAAATGGACAAAGACTACACGAAAATGTGAATTAAGAAGAAAGCACATTAGATTACGATTACTTGTATGACCTTAGCATTATTGACAAAAATTGGGTAATTATGTAATCAGCTTAGTAACTTGTCAAATAAATAGTTTTTATAAGCAATGATGGATAGTTGCCAGCAGTAGAATTCAGGACACGCGTTTCGTTCTGTTTGGGACTCGTCAGCTGGGTGTACCTGCATCTCAGAGTTGATGTTCACTCTGGGACTCAAACCCACTACCTTTCGCTTCAAAAACTATCGCCTTATTCACTTATATTATTATACGCACAGTATGCACATATGCCGATAAGAGACTGATCAATTGCAGTCCTAAACATCAATAGGAGGATTCAAGTAAACAATACCAGATGAATTTAAATAGTTTTTATATTGTTCTAAACTGACCGCTTATATTGACTGTCATGAACTGTTCATCTTAAACTTGTTTTTCATTTATCCCACTGAAATAATATAAGGAATATATTCACTTAATTTCGATAATGTAATAAGAAGACGAAGATTATCAGAATTATGTGATAGTATATTAGCGCAATACATTTCGAACAATTTGATCACACATAATATACTTGTTAAGAACATTTATATATAAAAATAAAAGGTCAACTAGACTGGAATTAGGTCGTGGGGGGTAAGAGTAGACAAGGCTAATAATGACAATAATAATGTGAAAACAATTTGACACCTAGTCACTCTGGATAATAAACATATATTACCAGGATAGGTTTAAGGAGAGAACAAACTGTTTTTGAATACACAAAAGGGGTTTGAATTTTCGTATGACTAAGGCTTCAATAAACCTCAGTATACGCCCTTTTACACACAACAAAAGCCCAGATAAGATCAATCTTATGATCTGTTTCGATTATATGTTTGGCAGTAGAGGATGATGGATGTTTATCCTCTATTCTTATTGTGTCATTCTGATAATCTTCGTCTTCTTATTACATTATCGAAATTTATCAAAGGGACTAATTGCTTTAAATATTCACTTAAGTCATTTTATCAGAAAAATCTATCTATTCAAGTGATCAACACAATAAACAAACAAATTCTTTATGATCAGAAGGGGTTTTGTGAAGATTTTAGTAATTTATAGAGTTGAGATCATGAGACAATTGAAGCTAGACCACCATGGAAAACCTGGAAGCACTGGACGACCGTTTCGTGGGTTCGTGGATGCGCACTGCTGAGGAGTCCCATAATAGGACGAAACGGCCGTCCAGTGCTTCCAGGTTTTCCATGGTGGTCTAGCTTCAATTGTCTCATGATCTCAACTCTATTAATTCTTTATGAGTTGAGTTTTGTTTTCTACTATCAAATCAATAGGAAATCAATAATTTGATGTGATCGATTTCGTGTGTGTGTGTGCATGCATGTATTCTCTTGTGCATGTATTCATACAGAAAAAAGTCTTGTTTATATAATAAAAGACATACAATTAAATACATAGGAATAAAGTATACTGACGTTGATTATAGTGACTATGGCAATGTGAATAGGGGGGAGAGGGAGGTAGAGAAAGGTTTAAATGAATACAATTTTATTTTTGGTTAGAAAATTTGTCATACAAGCGAACATAAGGGAGATAAGCGTGAATCCACACTACACTGATCAGAGAAGATTATGATTATTGATATTTCTATCTTGGAAAATACACACATTCAACAGTACTATTACTGTTAATACTACAAAATGATAATCATAAAACTTCGCATGATATTTGTCATTTATGCTTCATGAAGTAGAAGATCTTGATTATTTTATTCTGTAAACAAACTTTTCATTATTTTCATCGTAAAGATAAAAATTCCAATTGAACACAGTTAACAATCATGTTGAGTTTTTCCCTAACTTTTATCCCCTATTTACGTTAAGTAAATAGAAAAAAAATTAATATGATCAATAAATTAAGAAACTTTAGGAAATGATCATGCATACCTGAAGATTATGTATGAAATTAAATGATAAATTGATAGAATAATATTTTGAGTTCTAGTTGAAAGCATTGACCAGTGGAGTTCAACCACGTCTGTTGTGAGATATCAACTCACTGAAGACAATTGGTGAACGGTTGCTCAATTTCGTGGATTGGTTGAAGTTAGACATTAACACCACGGGATGCCGGCTCAGTGGTCTAGTAGTTAAGCGCTCTTGCACGAGACTGGTACTTCCTGGATTCGGATCTCTCGAGGAGGGGTCGTGGATGCGCACTCATGAGGAGACACACACTAGGACGAGTTGGCCGTCCAGTGCTTCCAGGTTTTCCATAGTGGTCTAGCTTCAATTAATCCATGATTTCAACTATGAAATTTACCATTTTGCTAATATATACTTCATTGAGCTTAGAGCTCGATTTGTTCCTTCTTTATATATCAAAATAAGATTAAAAATTATTTGCATAGAAATACAAGTGTAGATTGAATTTCTCATGAGTCAATTGAAGCTAGACCACCATGGAAAATCTGGAAGGACTGCTTGACAGCCGTTTCATCCTATTATGGGACTCCTCACCAGTGCGCATCCACGATTCCGCCTCGCGAGATTTGAACACAGGACAATGGTGAACGGTTGTTCAACTTCGTGGATTGGTTGAAGTTAGTCATTAACACCATGGGATGCAGGCTCAGTGGTCTATCGGTTAAGTGCACGCGCGAGAGACTGATAGGTCCTGTGTTTGAATCTCGCCAGGCGGGATCGTGGATTGGATTTCTATTGAATTTTATCATTTTTCATTTGGTATAGATATATGGTGATTATTGAAAGTCTGGAATAAATTTTCATCAACAGAGTACATTAAACGCTTGATAATATAATGAAACGATGAGTATATAGATGCTTATACCTACAAGTCTGATAAAAGTAGATGCAGTTCGAAATACAGTAATCACACATAACATACTATAAACTTGATACTGCGTTGTAAGCTAGATATGAAACAAACAATGCAACCCTATATCTCATTTATTATACACGACTTTGCCTACTTGTGCCTTTTATGAAATTGAAGTTAGCAGATCCCCACATAAACCTTGTCTACAATCAAACTAAAATCATGTGAGTACTTAAGTTACTCATCCTTAATCGATGCTGTAGGGAGAAGACCGGTGTTACGTCCTTGAATCTGTGTACCCACTTAGTGCCGAGTATAATGTAGATTAAGACCTTGACACGATAGATTGACTGGCTTAACCTTGAGGCCAATATGCGTGAGTTCGAAATAGGGGTAGAGAGACGAAAACTATTCTGTCCCTGATTGGCTGGCAAGCACGAAAGAGAGAGAGAAGACAAGACAGACGGAACACTAATCACTTTATTCCAACCCGATCTAGCACTCGAATTCCCAATTCAGATTACGGTGAAAAGTTACATGAATAAATAGATGACTAAGCGGACCACAACGTTCAATAATTAGAAAAATACAATCATGTCCAGAACTGGGGAGTTATAGTAGAAAATAGGGTACAAAAGATTACGTCTAAATGACAATAGCTTTAGGGCAGAAAATGCTATGGCAATGAATTATACATCAAACGAAAGCATATGATCTGTAGAATAGGCTAGGGGCAAAAGTAAATGTTACAGTTTTACAAGCTTTGAATTAAATGAATTAACGTCTCCGAAAATAGCTTCCGTAATTTGTTCAGGCTTCTAGTTTTGCGGATCACATCATCTTCCCCCTTGACAAAAAAAAGTTATGTCATCACTGCCATTGACTGAGTGCATAAAGGAAAACTGGATTGCGTTGTGGTTGTGACTGATTGGGTTAACTGGAATAAACAAAAAAAAAGAAAACGGTTAGACACTAATTACACACAGTAGCTAAGATAACATCACTGATATCTCCCCTCAGAAGTATATGCTCTTCTCTTCGGGTCCACCTGCAGTATATCGGGCCTTCTGCGTTTCCGTTGTGATCTCCTAATAGGATGTTGTTCCAGTTGTACAGTTTTCTTAGTTGCTGGACTTCCTATGTCGAAACTGTCCAGGAAGATTTCCCACAATGAGCACATTTTCTCGGTTTTCTGAGGAGTACCAGAACTTTCCAGTATGTGGTTAGCGTGACGTATCCACTTTTGGCCTTCAACCTCTACCACATACATTACATTCCCTCGTCTCCCAAGTATGCGTCCACTGGTCCATTGTGGAGGTGAGTATCGGAAATCACGGACATATACTTTTTGATTATCTCGGAAGATTCTACTTTTCGCCCCATGGTGACGATTAAATTGAGATTCCATCTTCTGGTTTCTTCTTCCTACACCATTTTGCTTTGGTTTTATGGCATCGAGAGCAGTTTTAACTTTTCTACCAAACATAATTTCTGCTGGAGACAATTTATTCGGCGCTGATGGATTTGGAGTCGTTCTGTAGACTAACAGAAAATCATCAAGAATTTCCTTTATCTTCACTTCCCCCCTTGCCTTCAGTAGCGCTCTTTTGAAGGTATCCACAAACCTTTCTGCTTGACCATTTGATTGTGGATGGTATGGAGGTGAACGAACATGTTTGACCCCAAACCTGTTGCAGAAGTCGGAGAAAATGGAAGAAGTAAACTGAGTGCCATTATCTGACACGAGAATATCTGGGGCTCCGAAACGAGAGAATAACTGCCGTAACTCGATAATAGTCTCTTGCGACGTGATTTGCTTCATGGGTAGAATCTCTGGCCACTTTGAGTAGGCGTCGACACAAATGAGGAAATATGTACCTTGAAATGGGCCGGCGAAATCAATGTGTATACGCGACCAAGGTTCTTTCGGGGATGGCCAAGAATTGAGTTCAGCTTTCCGTGGACATTTCGAGGCTGCAGCACATTTTCTGCACGCACGCACTAAGTCTTCGATGTGTTCATCAATGTTAGGCCAGTATACATAACTTCGAGCAATAGCTTTCATTCTTCCAATACCTGGATGAGCTGTGTGCAGTTGTTTCAGAACGAGTGGGCGTAGGTTACTTGGAATTACTACGCGATCAGCGAACATAATACAATCATTTACGATGGATAAAGATTGGCGTCGTTGATAATACTGTTTTAGTTCATGAGATGTTATACGTGGGGGCCAACCACGCCGGATAAATGTAGCTAGTTGCCTTAAGATAGGATCACGGAGAGTGTGATCAGCGATTCGAGCAGCTGTCACTGGAAGAATTCGCGTTGAATTGAGCAACATGCTGCTTACATCTTCTTCCACTGATATAGAAGCAATGACAGTATCTTCATTTTCAAGCTTATGATTTCTTATTAAGCGCGATAGTGCATCAGCATGACCAAAGTCAGAGGTAGATTTGTATTTGATAGTGAAATCATAACCCAACAACATTGTAGCCCATCGTTGGAGGCGATTTGCAGTATAAACTGGTATACCTTTCTTAGATCCAAAGATCGATAATAGGGGTTTATGATCAGTAAATAAGGTAAATTTTCTACCATGCAGCATTTTGTGAAACTTCTTAACTGCAAAAACTAGTGCCAATCCTTCTTTCTCAATTTGGCTGTACTTGCGTTCTGCCGAAGTCAACGTTCTGGAGGCATGGGCTATAGCTTTCTCTGTACCGTCTTGAAACCTGTGGGATATAACAGCTCCGACACCATAATCAGAAGCATCTGCGGCAACAACGATTTCCAGTGAGGGATCAAAATACGTAAGAAGTAGGTCCGATATTAATAGTGACTTTACTTTGTCAAAACTCTTTTGACACTCAGTGGACCAGTTCCATTTTACATTTTTGGATAATAGATGGTTCATGGGTGCTCGGAGGCGATGCAATTCTGGTAAAAAGTTACTGTAATAACTGATAAGACCAAGGAACGAGCGTAGAGTTGCGACGTTAGATGGTGGAGGCATATTTTGGATAGCTCGTACGTTTTCTGGATCTGGGCGTCGTCCATTTTTGTCGAAAACAAAACCAAGATATTTTACCGAGTCCATGAAAAATTCACACTTCTCTTCTTTTAGATAAAATCCATACTCAGATATTTTGGTCAAAACAGCATCAAGTCGATCAAATAAATCGGACTTACTGGAACCTGTAACGATAACATCATCCAGATAGACAGCGACTCCTGGCAAATTTGCCAACATAGTGTCCATAATTTGTTGAAAAATAGCTGGTGCTGGTTTCACACCAAAAGGCAAACGTTTATATTGATAAAGACCTCTGTGAGTGTTAATCGTCATTAGTGGTTGGGAGACTGGATCAACTGCTATTTGAGATATGCGTCAGCAAGGTCAATCTTAGCAAAATACTTCCCTCCATTTAGTTTGATAAATAAATCTTCCTGTATGGGAAGTGGATAGGTGTGATCCTCTAAAGCATCATTTAGACCAGCGGAAAAATCAGCACATATGCGAACAGTCCCATTCGCCTTTCTTACAACTACTATAGGAGCAGCCCATGGTGAGTAATTTACTGGCTGAATGACACCCAGTGCTTCTAACCTGTCAAGTTCCTGGTCAACGACTGACAGAGCAGCATAAGGTACTGGTCGTTTTGGTCTGAAGACAGGTTTTGCGTTTTGCTTTAACGACAAGAAAACTTTGGTGAAATTACAACAGCCCAGTTTGTTTTGGAATACATCTGCATGTTTTTGCCGAAGATGATTTACATGGGATGTGGTCGACATTTTAGAGGAATAAGATGCATGAGATTTTGAGATATTACGGCAGCATACTTTGTTTGACGAATTTGATGGGGGAACATTTTGTGAACATGTTGCATCGGAGTTATTTGATTTAGCATCATTATGAGAACACATCAAATCGGAGGTATTTGATTTGACATCATTATGAGAACACATTAAAACGGAGGAATTCGATTCCGAAATATTACGAGAACATGTTACATCGGAAGCATTTAGTTCATAAACATCAGGGGAACATAACACAACTGAGGCATTTGATTCGGAAATATCATGAGAATTTTGGATAGAATTAGAGCAAGGATTATGAGAACATACTTCATTTAATAAATTATTTAAGACATCAATCTTCTCAATCCAGTCCAATCCCAATAGATCTAAATCATGCCGATTTGTTAGATAACAAACGTCAGTGAATTTATGTTCCTTGAACTGCACGTTGCAGGTGACTCCTCCAGTTAGCTTCACTATGTCGCCTGAAGCATTTCGAGCAACATGCTCTGTTGGTCGGATGCGTGGGCACCCTAGCTTACGCCATGTGTTCTTGGAGATCAGTGTAATGTCGGAAGCAGTGTCTAACTGAGGACGAATAGGTTTTTCATTCACTAATAAGTTCACATACTTCCGTTTACTTTGAAATCCCACTTTAAAAGTTGCAAATGTGCTTTTGACTTGGCTCTGTGGCTGTCGCTTCACCTTTACGCCACGATGTTTGGACTGACGTCTATCTGATGAGCAGTAACCTTCTTTATGACCAATGCGATGACATTGGTGGCATTTGTGGTTCTGAGCTTGCTGGATTTGTAGAATAGTTTTAAGGTCGTCCAAAGAAACAGACATTTTGATTTGGATCAGTCAATATTTCAAAATATAAAAAAAATCTCCGTCGCCACTTTTGTTACGTCCTTGAATCTGTGTTCCCACTTAGTGCCGAGTATAATGTAGATTAAGACCTTGACACGATAGATTGACTGGCTTAACCTTGAGGCCAATATGCGTGAGTTCGAAATAGGGGTAGAGAGACGAAAACTATTCTGTCCCTGATTGGCTGGCAAGCACGAAAGAGAGAGAGAAGACAAGACAGACGGAACACTAATCACTTTATTCCAACCCGATCTAGCACTCGAATTCCCAATTCAGATTACGGTGAAAAGTTACATGAATAAATAGATGACTAAGCGGACCACAACGTTCAATAATTAGAAAAATACAATCATGTCCAGAACTGGGGAGTTATAGTAGAAAATAGGGTACAAAAGATTACGTCTAAATGACAATAGCTTTAGGGCAGAAAATGCTATGGCAATGAATTATACATCAAACGAAAGCATATGATCTGTAGAATAGGCTAGGGGCAAAAGTAAATGTTACAGTTTTACAAGCTTTGAATTAAATGAATTAACGTCTCCGAAAATAGCTTCCGTAATTTGTTCAGGCTTCTAGTTTTGCGGATCACATCAACAGGTTAAGTATTTTCTACTTAATTGAAAGAATACATAAAGTCTGAAGTAGTTTTAATTCACAAATGTAAAAGGATATTAATAGTTCTGGACAAAACAGCAGCACCATAGTCACCTGTACCACATGTTCAATGAAATCTCAAATGAATTCGGAGAAGCAGCCTTATTGAGTCAGTAAGCTTGTTAGAATGAACTGCAGTAATTGTCGTATATAAATATACAAGACGGTATAAGGTTCATTCCAAAAGCTTTTCCAATAAGAAAGAAACACGATGCTAGAAATAACATCATGTTTAGTACACAAACCAACCTTTTCAGTAAAACCTCCATTAAACTTCCCACCTTCTGTTTTCTATTAAATTTTTAAAGGTAGAAGACTTGTGGGGACTGGAAGTAATTTGAAATTTGGTGTCTAGGCGATCAAGTATTAGACTCATTACCTAAACACCGATGAAGGTCAAAGTAACCATTTGATAGATACGACTGGCATATAAGTCTGGTTTAGGTGAAGTAACCACGTTCCGTCGGAAGTAATTACGTCATCGAGATTAAGACAAATGAGGAAGTACTCATGTGTAGTGAGAGCATACTCGTACTCTAACAACGATCTCTGAAGAATAAAAATACGAACCAGTTCTAACCCAGATGTCTATTGTATTGCTGTAGAGAGGCGCCAAATATTCAATGAACAAATCTGGAATAGTTCGAAAACCATCCGACAGGTGAACTGGAGCAGGACAATGTGAACAATCAGATCACTGTATTTCAAATATTTACCTTCATCTCAATTAATGTAGATGAATGAAAATGAACAATGGTATCATGTTAATGTGTGCGTGTGGAGGAGGAGGAGGAGCGTAAATTAGGGAAGGAGAAGAAAATCTTAGATTATTTGATTAAATAGTCGTAAGTAATATAATGAGGATAATCATGATAACATGACCATTCACAATTAGACATAATATATGCAAGCGAGAGATAAATTTAAATCACAGAAGGTACACTGATGCGCTTTCACATGACACGAGACCAATGTGCACGAGATTTACAGAATAACCCCTTTATTGAATGTAAATAGTATATTGGTTGTCTGTTGTTAACCTAATCCATACACTTAAACTTTCCAGTCTTTCAACTCTGCTACTGTGTATGATGGTGCGTAAGTACGAAAATAATGAAAAACAACATATCCCCTATTCCTCATATGGTTGTGTGCTCTTGCTCACTAGACTTACATTCTAAGGGCGGTACACGATTCACAAGCATTATTTTATACATAAAAATCGAGAATATATTCGATTGTATGATCTGCATTTAAATTATAGTGCTAGTTGATACGTATGAAACACAAGACAAGTGAATGGAAAGTCAAACTCTGAATCCCTTCGAGTTTACTAGAGGGAAACATGAACCCAATCTACTGCACATTCAAGTCATTATCTTCATAATACACTGCCAAATAATTGGCAGTCACAAAAATTTTCAAAGGTTGTCTTGTAGTGAACAAGAACACGAGTGGGGACAATCGAATGTGACACAGACGGAATTACCAACTAACTTACTAACATCTGATAACCTAAAAATGAACAGTTAATTTGCAAAATAACAATTAATTGTCACTGTTACTTCCGTAAATATCAGTCCGTCTTCCCTCATTTCATTGCTTATACATTTTCCTACTAATTGCGCTTCGTTTCTGTTCTTTACTTATCGGTATTCTACCGAAATACATACTATGCCTAACGCACAGCATATACTACTTATGTGGATATAAGTATCCCACATTAGAGTCTAACTAAGATCGATCAGTCAGTGCTTCAAATACTGAAGGCCATGCAAAATGTCTACCTTAATGCAAAATATCAAGTTGCAAATACACAATTAATTCGATAATCTATACTATCTTTGGTGGATTGGTGGATTTCAATGAGACATCAAATCTTGAATATTTACACAACAATGTATTGAGTTCTCTTCCTAGAATCGGACTTGTGATATGTGTGACTCCATGATTCACCAGTGGAAATCACACTCGGACGCGTATGTATTCACAGGTGGCTGCTTACTACCTAGACAAATGAGCATCAACTTATCAGAAAACAGAATTTGATTTAATCTATCCTCGATAACTGTTGATGTTCAATCAGTTTGTCAATTAATGATGTAAATATCATGGATTCAAATAAGTCAGGCAACTGAACACGAGTTACGCGTGGAATTAACTCATGCATGTGACGGTCACATACACCGTCACAATGGTGGAGAAGATTCGTAGCTCAGGTGTATGATTTTGATGGAGTTTTGTTCTCTGAGCTGGTTGGTTGTAGAACTTTCATCGTCCTTCTGAACGACATCATCAGCACAAACTTCGGGTAGAAGTGATGGTGTGCTGATGATGTCGTTCAGAAGGACGATGAGAGCTCCACGATCAAACTATCCAGCTCAGAGAACAAAACTCCATTAAAAAAAAACCGTCACAATATTTGTTATAATGCTATGCAGAGTAATTACAGGATGCCCCATAACCCACTTATGGGTTATCGTTGTGGCAATCAAACAATATTGAACCAGATTAAAAATGTTTACTTACCATTTTAAACTACCACAATTAGTGAGGTGGACATAAAGTTTCCTCTAAGTAGCCCTCATAGTGAATTTGTTTATTGGAAGGAAATCTATAATGTTTACAACTATTAAATGGTATATCATTAGGAAAATCTATCTGAATGATACTAACTTCATGGTTAATTGATAATAATGACAGTATATTACCAACCCAAAACCACCATTCATAATCACATAATTACTTGTAGTAATCATTGTACACACTTATCATGCTTCTGATATTTACATTACTTCATTGTTGTTGAATATACGGTCTCACGTAATAAATAATAATACTTTAATTTGTAATTACATATGTGTTTTCTAAGTCATGTCCGAATATCATTATAACTTAGTTTGTGTGTCATTCTATTCATATGGTTGTTTAAGTCGAGCGGTTATTGACGTTACTTCTCAAACCATTGAGGCTATGCTCTATTTGGAATCGGTTGCATTTTATTATTTTGTAAAGCGACCATTTCCAATAACAGTACTCGTGTATTCTGTAAACGGGATACTGGCGACACAGAAACTATATGAAAGCAATAGTCCGAAAAAGGACAACTTAGTTTTAAACTTTATCTGTTTCTAGACGTAAAAACCATCCCGTTAGCCAATAATTAAAGGAATTATAGTCATTAAGTGGAACGCACAAACATACGGACTGGTATTGTGTGTATTATCGAGATGAATAAAAATTATTAGTCACACTAACACAATAAGATAATAACGTCCTTCAATGGGCAAGTCACGTGCAACCAGGATAGTTTGCAGACACATCAGACGAAGGTAAAGTGGTGGGAGCTTAACCGACGATTTGATTAATTACTTATTGACATGACTATCACACAGCGTCCATCCTAGCAAGTTGTAAGCTTTGTCTATGGGAACACTCGAATGTGAATAGAAGAGTTTATTAGATTGGACTAGTTATTGTGGTCAGCTAATTCTACACAAAACCCTTTCTCACTACGAATGGCTGTTAACACTACCACTGACCCTAGTCCTCTAGATGGGATTTGAGACGGGACTAGTCGTTTAGGGCTCGATGATCGGATAAGGATAGAAACATATTGATGCCTCATTCAGTACGTGTCTCTCATAACTTATATAAGTAGTATAATTCGGAGTGCAGATGGGAGGATTTCTGACGAATTAGTCGTTATTTCATATTGACTTCAAGTAATGACAAATTGTTTGGACACAATTTGATGTTGAACATGATATATTATGTGATCTGCCTTAGTTGTTGTACATTTGCAAAATGATGTTTCCGATTCTGGTATGAGTTAGCAATAGGGCACACAGAATGTACATGAACACTACGACAGGGTTTTCGTCATAGACGAGTATTAAATATTTTTGTGGCTGTCAGTTGACTGACAGTGTATTAAACAATATAGGAAGGTGTTGTGAGAGCAGTTAACATTTTGTCGTCGTCGTCGTCGTCGTCATTTGTGAACATATTAGAGTGATAATGTTGGAGATGGTTTATCAGATTTGTCCTATCCAAATAGGACGAAACGCGCGTCCTGGATTCCACTGCTAGCCACTATCGATCTCCGCTAACCATGCTTGTGAATTAAGGTATATCGAGGCAATACGCACAGTATGCACATATGCCAATTAGAGACAGACCAGTTGCAGTCCTAACAAATCAATGGGAAGATTCAAACAAACAATACTAAGTTGAATTATACATATCATTAATAACAACTAATTTAATATGATAATGACTACTTCCGTTCAATTACATCCTAATCACCATGATGCTGTTGTGTCGACTGAACCGTGTACTATTGGAACTTGTAAATCGTGTAAGAAACAGTGTAAGATCAGTGTTACATCGATGGTTTGATATTAAATTGAGCGGTCATGATTTCAATGTAACATCAAATGTTGAGTATTTACAGAACACAGTATTTATTTCTCTTCCTATGATTGGACTTGAGATATGTGTGCTTCCATGTTTCACCAGTGGAAATCGCACTCGGACGCGTACGTATTCACGGTGGGCTACTTACCATCTAAACAAGTGAGCATCGACTTATCAGAATACAACATACATCCAATCTATCCT